TTAGGGTTAATCTTGGCAAAACTTTACACATCTCAGCGTAGAAAACTATTGTAGCCAGGGAAGAGAGACAGATAGAAGATTCACCAGTCGTGCTTTCATCATTTTCTGGAGTGCCGTGAGCTTGTGTACAGCGATGGGGTTCGGATCGATGAAGTCGTCTCGGAATTCCCTCGGAAGGGATTCTAAGAACCCTGACTTGCGTATCATGAACATGGCTGCGGTGAAGAATTCAGTGAGCTTTCCAGGTTAGTAATTGTCAGTTTGCAAATCAGGACAAAAACCTGATCTTCGTGGCCAAGCATCAACAATACACTGGACCTATCAACATGTTCCATGTGTAAAACCAACCCAAACATCACACTGTATACAGCATTTTATAAAAACACAATTCACCGTCCGCTGGGCCTGTCTGGGACCACTCAAGCCAACAGAAACAGTACAGAGAAATTAAGAGACGAGGATAAAAGATATGGACAGAAAGCACATTGTAGCATTACAGTTGGAAGCTTGGAATGCAATGACTTGAGTTCAGAGGAAGTTATAATAACCCTCCTTTCTATTCTAGGATGAGAGGGTATTTCCCAATCATGACTTGATTGGATTTTAATCTCAAGCCACAGTAGAGGACCAAATCTTAAAGGCTTAGCCTGCGAGACAAATAGGTACTTACGTAGCAGAGAAGGGAGTTAAGCTGAAGAGCCTTGACTTGTAACTTCATAACATTGAAAGCAAATAGAGGGACATTTAAACCCGAGATCTAGAAAGCCACCGATGTGGGCTATTATTTTGAGGTCCATGACCAGCTGCATCGCAACTTACAGTTGGGGTTGTCGGTGCGGTAAGCTCTGTGTAGTATCTCTATCTCGGTTGCTGAGAGGCCGTGTGCGGAGCGATACTCCTGTACCATGGTGTCAGGAACATCATCAAAGGAAGGGATCCATCCGCAGCGCTCGCTATCAATAAACAGATAGGAATCAAAAATGAAATTAGCAAATGCTTGATATGAACTTTGAGCTTTTGGTTTCTTTTTTTTTTTGTTAACCCTGGCAGTATACAGTAGTCTGGAATCTTCTATTAAATGGAAGTTTAATTAAATCACAGGGTGGCATGATCAATTGTCATGGATAAACCAATTAAATGAACGGAAATGTAAAGGTCTTCAAAAACAGTGAGATACTGGGTGATGCTCATTTCCCATTTCATGCTTACTGGCCTCTAGGGTGCCTGAGGTTTATGTCTACCTTGTAAGATTGAGAAAGAACGGCATGATGTTGTCATGGCAATGTCGATCAATCTCCTGAAGACAGAGACACAGCGTTTCCCCCAAATCAGTGTCCTTTGGGACGCCCTGTGGAGACGAGATGCACAAAAGACCATCAGGAAACAATACCCGATAACGATTTTCAAGTGGGAAAAGGATGGGGGAGGATTTATATTAAGCCACTCCCACAAGTGGTTCACACACACAATAATGGACACGTCTTTGGGCAGTTCCCACAATGGCTTGACGCCCTCACAGGTACCCAATTACTCCCGGGTGGACAGAGGCAAGGAGTGACAAAGTGCCTTGCCAAAGGGCACACCCACCATGACCCTAGGCTGGATTTGAACCCGCAACCTGCGGCTGTACCCGCCGACTACGAATCTGACGCTCTGAACCACAAGGCCACGGCACTCCAATTTTGGCCGAGATTATATCTGAAATCCATTGCAGTGCTCAAGGATGGTATTCAAACAGTCTCAACATCAGGACAGGAATTGCTAGGAATTTTGAAGGATTAAAGGCAACACTCATCCCTCCAAGGAAAACATTTAAGAAATGGAGGATTTTTGAGGATCCAGTTTTTAAACAAACACAGTTGGAGGATTTTCTTTGAAGGACTGAGGATGTGTCGTAGCAAAAAAGGACTCTGGGATAGCACTAAGTCTTACCCAACGAAGGTCACACTCCACCAGGTGCAGCCTCCTGGACTCGCACCAAGCACGCAGATCTGGGAAAACCTGAGCATTTCCAGAAAGGAAAATGTAAAAAATAGGGCCTTTCTGATACAGTCCGGACAGTTCTCACAAGAGATCCTTGTTCACATTCAACTTGTAGGCCTACCTAAATACTGGGCAAAAGTCTGGCTGGGTATCTAGGAACATCAGTGGTTTTTTCTCAAGAGCATTTTGGGAAAGTGAAAAAGCTGGGTGCTCAATGTGTATTTCAGCCTAAATAAGCTGTCTTTCATTTCTGAGGAAAATAGCAGCAATCTCAATACTGGTTTCTGAGTGTTCCAAAAACTTGGGACAATGAAGATTATATGCAGTTCATAAAAACGGACTTGCATTTAATACAAGATCAGTTTATTGGTAAAATAAACTACATGTAATTTGTTGCAGACAAAATTATGGCGTTTGGTCTCTACATTTACTTTCTGCATCACATTTGCTCTTACAATCACTTCAATCAATATTATTCTCTTTAATACATAGCCCATTCAGGAAGAAACTTGTACATTTTAATTTATTTTAACATGAAAGACTCTCAACGTGGTAGTTGACAGTCTGCAGCAAATTTATGCTGACTGAAGTTTGAAATAGAAAGTTAGCCAAATTTTACAAGGTCTGCATAGAGCCTCACCTGTTTCATAAGGACTTCTCTCTCCGCATGGAAATCTTTAAACCGTGACGACACAAAGACAGGGATGCTCTTCCACCCCGACCTCTGGCTGACCTGTCTCTTGTCTCCCTTCAACCTCTGGCTGGCTGACTGGTCAAGCTGGTCCCAGGTCCGTTGGACGGCGTATTTGACTTCACTGGAGCCAGACGGATCGCCATCAATGACTTGAGATGACCCAGACCCCATGTTTATGAAATCAGAGGTTTAAATAACACCACCACCACCTGCAGGCACAAAACCAATGCTGTCATAAACACTACAGAGTTTTTGACCAATTTTCTATTCCCACAACCAATCTTATCTCAGCTTTCATCTACATCTGGAGAAAAGTTGAAGATAGGAGCTACATGTATGTTGCAATTGGTCGAGTTGCCATGCTGCTGACGAATGAGAGAGCTGCTACTGATGTTTTGTGGCATGGACGGGCAAAATGAATGAATTTCATCATTTTAATGAGACATGTACATACATACATCGACCTCCCCGGCACACATCTAACCTCAACAAGCAGGAATGAATGAAATTTTGTTGCACAATTATCTTGATGGCAGAGTAAGTTGGCACAATCGAAACAGCCAACACAGCATTTATGTATGCTACATGTAGTTTGTACATTGCTATCATGGCCTATAGGCCTAGGGTTTGTATAAACCTTCCTGTTCTGGAAGTACCCGTACCAACTACTACTAATTCTAATCCTGGACAAACTTGTCGGGACACTTGGCAATAGCTCTCCAGCCCCCTTCCTCCATTCCTCCGGTCAATGTGATCATGTCCAGTCGGAGCGCAGACCGCACATAACATTGAAAGGGGTCTGGGGGCTGGAAGCCCAACAAGATTTGTCCGGGATTGTCTGAATTGGTTCACTAGTGTTTATATACGCAAACCATGCCATTGAGGGGTGTGTCCTGTAGCGTCATTTGTAGAAAAAAAAAAAACAGGTTGAAAATATGAAGATGAGGTATGGCCGCATCGTAAAATTAAAAGAAGGGAATATCAATATCTGTTTTTGTATTATGTAACCACAGCAAAGTGTGATATCGGGTAGCCAAGTTCCTGTGAGGAAATGAATCTCAAATAATTTTTAGGGGTGCGATTTCAAGACACGATGTCTGCATTGCAGAGTGTAATGTCTGTAGGAGTACATGGTATACGATGCACCATAGCATTTCACGGGTTATCTCCACAAAACAGATTGTTTTTAAACATGAAGTGTTAGGGTTGTGCCGAATATCCGAATATTCAATTGATCGTCATTGCACTATGGAGGCTTGTTTCACGAAGGTTCAAATGAAAAGCGTCAAAAAACTTACGATTTTAAAAGTAACTTATTCATTAAACAATTTAAAAGGAATGAAAATTTTCGACAGGGCTGTAAGTCTTGTTCGTCTCGTAGATCTTGCCAAATCGTTGCTGGAGATACTCCTAGACATAAGAAGCTATTTATTGATTATAAAGTACATTGTGTGTGTTACTGTAAGTGATTTTGTATATGGTTTGTTTATCAACAATCTGCCGGTAGATAGGCAAATATTCGATCAAACTGAAGGTCGAATAGTGAATTATTCAAATTGACTCAGCCCTATAAAGTGTCCACTTGGGTCCGGACACACCATAAAATCGTGTGAAATTTCTGATTTTTAGTGATTCTGTCATTTTGTCAAGAAATGTAAACTGTAAAAAAAGGAAGGGAGATATTTTACCTGTCAAGAGTCCTCAGTCCCTGCCAAACTGTGCATTTATAAGGCCCTTGTACTTCCTATCCTAGAGTATGGTGTTCCCGCCTGGTTGCCACATAACCAAAAAACAAGATCGTCTAGAAAATATCCAGCATCGGGCCACTCGGTTTGTCTTGGGTCAGAAACGTGGGGTTATGTCATATGTAAAAAGACTGGATACTCTCAACTGGCCCACTTTATCCAATCAACGTAATTTTGCGGTGTGGTCTTATGTATCCAAATGTTTCTTTAATCTTGTCAAATGTGAATTGTGTAGTCATAGAGTAATGGTAAACTGTAGGCATTCAGACGTAATTAGCTTTAATCATCTTCAAGCCAGAACTCAACCTTTACCCTTATCTTGTTTTCATCTGTTTCCTTGTTTATGGTCTAACCTCCCTGAATACGTTCATAATGCTATCGTCTTCCAGCCCTTTTCAGCTTTTTAAACGTTGCTGAAAACAAGTGTTTTCTATCCAAATTAATCAACTGTAGCATACTGCCAACACACGCATCTCTTTCGGCCAGAATCCATACATTTTTTAATTAATTAAGTATTGAGGTATCGCTATAACAATAAAATTTGAGTTACTTCACAGTTAATCACGCTTCTCTCTATCCCCTCGTTGTTAGTTTACATGTACATGTATTCACATACTTGTTTAAACTCATATCGTGTTCTGGGAAGTATCACTTATTCTAGCCCCACGCACTAGTGTGGCACGGACTCTCATTCCCGATCCATCCTTACTGAGGATGGATCGGGAGTGAGAGTCCGTGCCACACTAGTGGGGCTACACTTATTTGTTATAGTCAGTTATCACTGGTTATTGTTTTGTTACTTGTATATCTATTGTCTTAGATATTGGGATCCTTTTCAATGATTAATTATTGGGTTTTTTTTTATTATTGTCGTTTTTAACAATTCTTAAATGTCAGGGTGTTTTTACCCATTTCTTTTAACATTAACAATGTATTTGCATAAATGTGCACATGTACATTGTATCATTATGCATACACATATGCCTATTTATATAGTTTTTTTTATATTTTTAATCTCACACAACTGGATGTGCCCAGCCCTTTGTGGTGTACATTGTTGGCATGAATAAAATAATTAATAGGCCAATAATAATAACATGCTCAAGTTCTATTTGGATGTATTGTGGCTCATCATTGGCAACGTGGCTTGTAAAGTTGTATGTGTAGTGCTTATGCGCCCTATAATTTCAGGCATACCCCTTAATGAACTTCTACCTGTATAGAACATCCGGGCTCTTGTGGATTTTGGAGAATTTAACCTATTATTATTGTACTTTTTTTCTACCATCCTTACCTCTCATCGCTCAACGATCCCCGCGCACATCTGCACTTTCATATGGCCGTACGTCATGTGACAAAAATAAAAACACGGCGTAATCGCGATCGCGTGACGAACGTTTATGTTGCTTTGGAAATCAGACCCAGTAATTCCGACAACTCTCGTCAAGATTATGTACAGAGACGTCTGGGAAATATGTGGTCAGGGAACCACACTAAGGTTGCACTATACCAAATACGAAATACGCAAATACGCGCCCATAGGGGTGCACCACTACAAGTAAATTCCCATAGACTGCAATGATAAATCCCCACACTTTGCAATAATTTTAAAAAATACTCACAACTCTCACAGGTGTCCAGGCTGCACAGAAATACGATGATCGACATGTCCCCTTTCATTTTCCTTTCATTTTCGGGGGGTTGACCTATGGATTTTTTAGAAATTTTCACCAGAAGTAGACCACCCCTAAAATGAAGAAAATGTCCCTGCCCAGAAAAGCAGCCATTTTGAAAAACCATCCTTCTGCAAAACGGCCAAATAGTGCCATTTTCGGACCCAACTGCATCCAAATTACTCAGAATTTGAAGCCCAGAGTCCGGGCCAGGGATTCAGTGCCATATTTCTCCAATTACTCAATTTCATGGCTCTCATGACTCTCTAATATAGAATATTTTGAAGTGTATAACTTTATTAATAAGCTCGGCGGACATATTTAGGGCCTAATTACCAGGGTGCACCCTCGTAGGTCTTCAGTTTAAACCACGCCCACTGCACAAGATACACAACCATCACATGTACGTTAGTTCGCGGTCAATATTGTCGTTAGTTTTTCTTCTAAATTTTACGTGTTGAGTCATCCTGAAAGACTCTTCCGCAAAAAGTTAAAGCCTGGAAAGTCTTAGTTTTAACATACCTTTGTGTATTTTGTGTCTTGACTCGTTATTTTCCATCGTCTGATCGTATTAAGAATTGAAGCTAACACATACAGCCTCGTTTTCAAACGCAGTGCGAAGATCGACGCTAAAAGCGTCATATTGTGGGATCCCTCCATATCCACGGACTCATACAGAGACCACACCAACCCTGAGAACCTGACACCACAGGGAAGTCTCATTCAAGTGTGTACAAACTCAAATCCTTTTAGTTTAGCGCATCATGCCGCTTCTGTTTTTGGTTGGTAATCAATCGCTGTCTTTGTCAGCCGCTGAAGGTAAACAACAGCTGTTTCAAACTAGTCCCAGACTCTGAAACAGTCGCGGGAGCTGCTGGCTGGGTGGCAGTATCCATTGGAGATCGGAGGGGGGGGTGGTTGTGAAGGCTTTGTGGGAAGGGAGTTGCGGCATAGATTTCAGTGTTTTTCATTGTTTGCAAATTGTTAACCAACATGTTAATTGCCTATGTGTTTCACTTTTTCATATCTTCACCGCTTTCAAGAAGAGGCAAATTGGCCCAAATCTACGATTTAAGTTCAACTAGATGATGGGATGCCAACTTATATAATCATGTTTTACCAAATCGAGTGAAATCATCCGAATCACCATAATTTCAGTGGGGCAGAATTCAACTGAACTGCATTGTCTGTTTTCACAAAGAGACGAAGTTGTCTTCCATAAGTAAAGCCTCAGCAATAAAGGTCAAAACTTGTTTTGCAGTTTTCACTAAGAGACTGATTTGTCCCGAGAAATTTACAAATATAACAAATGGCGCGCACTACGGCAAAAGAGTATTATGCTTTCCGGAGGTGTTTTTTAAGTATAAACAGCAACTCGTGTTTTAGCAGGAGTTTTCTATAACAGATAAACGTGTTTTTTTACAAACATACACAATTTTAATCGACTTTTATAAAAAATATTTTGCAGTTTTGTGTCGTCTAAGATCCCCTCTCTCAAGGAGTAGCAATGGTTGAGTCAAAGGAATGCTAAATATTGGGAAAATATGCACTAGAGAAAAAAATATCAATTTACAATGCGATTTTCTCAAAAAAATGGGTTGTACTATCAGGTGAGACATTCATCTCTCTGCGAAAAACAGTGATGACATGTGTGCCCAGTTGCGCTTGGCCTACAGATTTAAGTTAAAACTAGGAGACAAAATATGGAATATACCCAAGATATTTTAATTCTTTGAATAGTAATTTTACTAAACATATTCCTAAGCTATTTTAAGTTACGTAATTAATAATTATGTTGTCTAAATAAGCGTTTTATTTTATGTTGTTTATGCCTTGAGTTTAAAAACAATTTCTTGTTTCAGATAACCGTAGCAAAAGCCAAAAAAGCAGTAATCAAACCAGCAAAACTCTGTAGAAGAAATGCTACGTTACCATTGTTATATTCAATCAATCTCTTGATGAAGCTTTTATTCCACACCAGAAAATTGGCAAAGGCGCTGCAACACATTTTAATAGGTGATTCTGCTCAACCGGGTAATTATAGGCTAATATCTCATTAAAAATGGTTACATTTCTGGATCATTATTTCTTGTAACCAGTAATACGGTCGTCAGTCCTTTTTTTCAACAAATGTTCCTCATTTACCTGGAACGTAGAATTGTTGAATAGTTTGAGGGAAAATCTAGTCAATCCTTCTTGAAAATTAAAATCACACTGACATTGGACTTGTTTCAGACTAGTGTGTAGTCAGCATTTGCCCCCCCCCTTTGGGTGGGGGATCGTGATCCTCATCGAGGAACATTTCGATGACCCCATCGATGACCAGCAAAGATTGAAGCGGTTATGTGTTTGGGGGGACTAAAGTGAATGATTGTTGTGGGAATCAATGAAAAGATCAGTTTTATTAGGAAGATAGTCCAATAACTTTGCGCCATTATACAGTAATACACAAAGCAAAGAAACCCTGCCGACAATATGGAGACCATGGCGGTTTCCAAAAGTTTAGAATCGTCGATGTCGCCAAGGAACATTGGTAAATAAATGTGGTGTCATATTATCATTGATGTTGATATAACTTGCCTGCGTGTTATATGACCGCTGATCGGACGAGACAAATGTTATATAAAGGGGTTTGAGTATTAAATCGTGTTAAATAGTTTTTTAAAGGGTTGACTTTAATGTCATCAAAGACTATGGGTCAATGAAACTACAGTGTCATATTATCTTTGATATTATTTGTTTACGTTTTATATAAACGTAGTAACTCTGGACAGTTGATAATTTCGTTTTCTGTAGATGAAAGCATGTGTTAGATCTTTGACTGCCAAAGGTTAACATTGATGAATCTCCCGTCCAAGTATGAGGAGAAAATACAAGAAATAAGAGAAAGGGGACAAAATAAAGCAGGCGTGGATCCAGAGGTGATCCCGAAAAATGGGAAAATAATTCTAAAAAATGACTAAAGAGAGAACTCCCTTTTGTTTTAAACATTGTTGCTGGAATTGGGCCGCTGTTACTCGAATCTCCGGGTTTGATTTCCTTACAATAGTTTAAAATATGTGTGTGCGTGGACATTCAAGGGGTATCCTTCTATCAAAGTTTCTAGGCAATTTGTTGTTTTGATTTAGTGGCATTTCCGGCTACTTGGGCTATTTGCGCCAGTCACTATATCGTTACGCATTAGCAACACAAATAACTTGGGTCTGTTTTTGTTTCTTTACCACGGGTAGTTAAATTGCGATAAATCCGAATCTCCAGATTTGCATTTTCACGAACTGACACAAATGTGCCGGCACGCGCACAAACCCTTAATTTCCACCTTCTCGGCTTCAAGAACTGACACCAATGTGTCTGTGCGCGCACATAACTCGGAATCTCCACCTTTTCGTCTTTACGAACTGTCACCAAGGTTTGTGTCTCACGTTACTCGGAATATTCACTTGCTTGTTTTCACAAACAGACACAATTCTTTTGCGTTAAGCGTCTTCGAGAATCAACCTTTTTTTTCTCTAAAGAAAACCACATCTAAGTAGTATAGAGCTGGGATTTCTCCGTGAACGAAAAATGATGCTAAAAAGTGAATAATACAATGAGATAGAGCGTGTTGAACTTTAAATCCGTGTATCTGTAGCGGTACATTGCGCTACTTCGTGGTACCAGTGGCAAAATATGGTGCCATACCATCATTGGTACTTGACTTAATTTGTTTATGGTTTCTGTGACCGCTGATCGGATGAGTCGGATTAAATAAACATACGCTTACCGCGGTTGACTATTTGGTTGACTGTTTATGAAAACGTGAGATCTCTAACTGTAAAAAAGTTGATATTGGGACACCTGTCATAAAATGTCGTCGGTGGTTCTCTCGTCAATAAATGAGGGCCAAACAATATAGAAATAGGAGTTCAGCGGCATTATAAAGAACGCTGATGAACAAAACGTTTGACTCATCTACAAAAGTTTTGTACACCTTTTTTTAAGTCACAGACTCAATCACATCTGACTAACTTCATATTACGTGCACATTTAGTCCATCTTCGGTTGAGGATTTCAGAGGAATTAAGTGGAATCAAATAACCCCCCCCCCAAAAAAAGAAATTCGTTTCATATACAAATCACATTACATGAGATTAAAAATACAGTTTTCTCCAGTTCCGTACACGTTTTAGCAGAGCCAGAGACCTAAGCAGTGCTATCGATGTGAACTGAGTTCATATTCAGTGAGACCTCACCGTAGTGAAGCAGCCCGGAGGGTCAAAAATGTCACTGTTACGTTATCAGGTGTCACATGACGTGAGATTAAAGAAGCACTTTTTCTACTTAGAATTTATGAAAAAAAATGTGTCCACAGCAAGAGACTTAAGCCCTGCTATCGATTTGACGGATTTCATATTGAATAAACACTCAATAAAGCAGCCGGTTAAGGTCAAAAAATCGCCATTAAGTTTTGCGTGACATGGATTTAAAGGTGCAAACTTTGAAGCATTTTATTTTGCGAAGTACTTGTCAGGTGATGATTCGGTTGAAAACAAGTATAGTAATTAGACAGGCGGGTATTGTAGATGCACTTAAACCATTAGCGAAACAGCCTGTGTTTGTGTTTTTGTTCGTTTTATTTTTACTCATCTTTTTTGACGGCAAACCATCATCGGTATTTTATGATTTTACAGTCACAGATCTCATACCCATTTTCATCAACAAAAAATGAAATAGTCAACCCCGTAATTTGCAATGTCTATTGGACTGGTCTCATGCGATCAGAGGTCATATAAAACGTAACAAATTATATCAAACACCAATAGTGATATGACACCATATTTATTTATCACTATTATTTGACGACGTCCATGGTTAGAAATTAGATGTTCGTGTCAGCATTTGCATCCGTATAAGAGAACACGTGTGCGGGTACGTATGGGATTACCGCAGAGCAACACTGTGCTGACGGCTGTTTTCTTCAAAATAAAATTTATCAACCCCAAAATTTAACTCAAAGGCATTGCTATATTAAGGAACAATACATCAAGCACTTTTGCTTCTAGGAATACAACTTGCTACTAATGTGGCGTGCACTTGAACCGAACCTTCGAACGTATCGGTTCCGTACCAAGTTGTTCCCACACGTTTTGGTCCGTGGGGCTTTTATGCATTACGTATAACAAGACAGCCTAAAGTGATGACGTCATCAGCGAAAACAAATACAGTTTTGTTTTCCAAAACTGTGTACTGCCTTCCTTATAAGTTTTAGCTTCCTTTCGATTCGTTGAACAATCATTGGCATGAGGTTTCACACCAGTTTGTATGGTTTCAGTATCCACTAAACGTTACACACGGCACGGATATTTCACTCCCAACACTTGTGAACAAGAAGGTCACGCGTAGTAAAATTTCAAATCCTTCATGTATTCGCAATCAGAGTGAAAAGTGAATGAATCGCTACCATATTCGGGTCGGTTTTGTGGGGTTTCAAAATCTTTGGAATACGAAAATATCAGTGTACATAAGTCGTTTTCAAGGTGATTTTCCATTGTCGGAAATAGACTCTCGCGGAACAATGAGTAGATCGTTAACAGATACGGATAGCTACAAACGCATGCGCACACGTACCTGTTCGCGTGCTAAACCTCCCCATTACCGCTTCCATCCTTGTGGAGTCATAAAAGTCATCATCGAAATCTTTCTCGATGAGGATCACGACACTTCTAAAAAAATTGGGTCAAAGGCTGACCACAATCACAACTTTACTTTTTATGATATTTAGTTATTATTTAAACAATGTATAGAGTAAAAACTTTAAGTCGACACTGAATCGTATCATACAGTTGAAGAGTCCCAGTTTGAACCAGAGCATAATTGTTCTAATGAATATCAGGCAGATGGGTGCGGTAATTTGCCAAGCAGGCAAGGAAACACCGAATGGTGGTTGTCAGGCCAATGTGTGAGGCTTACAAAGAATGTATCTATATGAATTCAAAACAGTTTAGGTGAAGCCCTAACCTGAGGCCAACCGTACAACCTCAATCCATAATGCAAGCATGAACATTTGCGATTGGTCCACAACAAACCAAGGTCAAGAAGCCGGGGGGGCGATCTAAATGACATCATCATTTTAGATAAATTTGCAGGGGTGCTTGCGAGTTTGTTTCCGCATTCAATTGGGGACCCTGAACAATAGAGGACAATAAGGTCCCCGATTGACAGAGGGTCCCCGATTGACAACTGTGTACAAAACATATGGGTGGTCTTCTGAAAAAGTTAAAGTACAAACAAAACAGGAACAATAGGGGGTTCCCAGTTGCAGGCAAATACACACTTGTGTGTGTGTGCACACGAGAACAAAGGATACTCCCCACAAGGAATAATCATCCCTCTATCCTGTTTCTTTTTATTTTTGCCTCATAATTTGACGGGAGAACCATCAACGGTATTTTATGATGGATTTTCAATTTGGTACCGTATACAGTCACACATCTCATACACGTTTTCATAAACAAAAATACAAACTAAGCAACTACAGTAACTTCAGATGTTTATTGAACTGTACCTAACTGGTAAGCAGTCATATCAAATGTAGGTATATCAACTGTCAGGATGATATGACACCATGTTTATTAAAAGCGGTATTCTTTGATGACATCGATGATTAGAGAATTCTGGAAACCGGCATCATCTCAATGCAGTTGGCAGCGTTCCTTCCCTTTGCGTATCACTGTATGGTGACGCATTTCTAGGAGTGTCTTCCAAAAACTCGTACTTTCCAATTGATTTCGTCTATAATCTCTGACTTTACGTCCTTGCAAACACACAACTTCCATCCTTGCGGGGTCATCAATGTGATCATCGAAAAGTTCCTTGGTGAGAATAACGAGCTTTCTCCAAAAAGGGGGCCAAATGCTCACTGCACATTGTACAACTAACTAGTCTAAAACGACCCTAACGATAGGCTACAAGAGTGTTTTGATTTTCCCAGAATTTTAATGATTTATAGTGTAAAAAGCTTCAAGAAGTAAAAGTACCGATTAGATATTCCCTCACAGCATTCAAGTTTTCTGCTTTTGAGGTAAATGAGAAAAAAATCGTTTATAAAAGAGATGATAATCATAATGCTAATTGGTGATTTTTCGAAGTATTGTATTAGATTTTAAACCGAAATAAATAAACAAATAAAATATAACAACGGCATTCAAATAACTTGTATAGTCTCTGTGATGTACTGAGTGGGTTATAGACAGAAACATTCTATCGAGCTCACCTGGTTTATTCTGCCATCTTGGAAGGTATAACCTCTTTATGGTAAACACTTGAGGGCGCTCTTCATAAATAGGAGCGGCACAAGCACAAGGTATACGAACATGCGTTACAGTCTCCATATTTTACGCGTGAAAATTTAACTTCAGGATATTTATGTCTTTTAAAATGCAATACTGGGGCAAATGTAAAATTTGTGCTTGCAATTTAAAACGTTATTCGGCCTATAAGAAATACATAGTAAATATATTTCAGTGTTTTTTTTTCTGCTTCTTCAAGCCTGAAAGCACAAATTGTTATTGCAGAATTGAAGATTCATCGGTGCTGAGAAGAAAAACAGTCACTTAAACGTTATAACCAAATTCACCATTTGCCCCTCTCAATAAATGAATAAATAAATACATCCATAAATAAATAAATAAAAGAAAATTAAAAATAAGATAAAACATAACAATACCACCACCCCCCCCAAAAAAAACCTGATACAATACCGATGGACACATTGCATGTCCAGCAGCTTTGAAACGACGAAGAGATTAATCACCAGGCTCAAATAATGACGAAATAAAACACGTGTCGAAATCTTAGCCCGAACACCCTTCCCACAAACCTTGCCCACAAAAATCCCCACCGAACACCGCCAGCCAGCAAACAACTTCTGAGACTGTTTCAGGGTCCGGGGATGTCAGGGTTTAGTTCCAAACAGCCGTCGTTTACATTCAGCTCCGGGCTGAGAAAACGATAGCGATTAACTACTAACCATATCACTGATCAGCAGTGGTCAGGATAGCTAAACAAAAATGTATCGAGTTTGTACATAATATGAACGAGACTTCCCTGGATTATCTGGTTGGTCAGACTTGGTGTTGTCTACGTCTCGTGATGATTCACAGATTAACCGTACAGGCTCACAATCTATAGTGGGTTGTGCGAGGACTACTCTCCGCTGTATCGGCTGTATAACTTTCTATTTAATAGAAGTTGTACCTCCATTACAGCCCAGCGGCTTAAGTATTCTGGAACAGAACCTGAATCGTTCTTAAGAAAAAAATACAACCACGTGCACGCATTACCTGATTTCAAATTTTAACATAGCCTAGTCTACACATAGTCTACCATGTGCATTCTGTGTACACCCCCCCCCCCGATCGAAGCTTTACTTGTCGTTATGGGGTTACATTTAATGCAGTGCAGTTTCAAGGAATTACTATCCAACATTGAGCGGTAGCAGTCACCTGTGAAGTGAACACCTATATTTTTCACAAAAATGCTGCAGTCTCTAAGAGATTTAACATGTGATTACAAGAAAAACTAGCCAGTTTCCTTTCCTTGCTGGTGTAAAATTTGTCAATTGTTTATTTCGTTTCATGCCTCTACAAATACCGCGCCTACAGTCAAAAGGTTTCCAAACGATGTGGAAGTTCGGTGGAAGAAAAACATATGTTTGCATTTCGACAACTGAACTTCTGACCTGTAATGTGAGATAAATTGTAACTGGAACTGCCATGCCCCCGTATAATTAGATTCCTTATTTGTGATGAACCCCTATTGGTTGAGCGACAAGTCACTGAAAGCACCCATCATCAACAATGCTCATCTGTGCCTATATAAAGAGCCTATCACGTCTATTCGGAGCAATTCTGAGACGATCATCTTGCTGCTAAACACAAGACAAGACTTGGACAACATTGGAAGTCTTCTGATTAAGCCGATATAGTAAGTTAATTGGTAATGGAGTGCAGTTTCCACATTTGACTTTTAATTAAAAAAGAACTATTTTCATGAGATGCCTTTGACTATTTTCACGCTGGTGACAGGTTTCACTTATTGACTTGTTCATTCATTTTATGATCTTTACTCTCAGGCGCGGTGGTTCAACATGGCATCACTTCCTATTTGGGTCCTTGTGGTGTGCTTGGGCCTGGTGTATTCTGCATCAGGCGATTTAGGTAAGGTTTTGTACTACACTCTTTTGACTTAACTGTAGGGCTGAAGCACTCCCTGACTAGCCTTATTAACTCAAAAAGAGACGGTTTGGGGGTGGTCACCCCAGAAAAACTATCGAAAAAGTATACTTCTTGGCCTGGTGAACTCTAAATAAACAGCATTGGGGGAATCAAATCACGTAATTCTGTCAGTTTTCAAATAATAGAGTCTGAAAGATGACCCCTAATGACGCTCTTCCGGAACCCTAGGATAGGACAAAAACAACAGGCAAAAATGTTAGAATTTCTAACAGTTACTTCTTAAGAAGCTCTGCTCGTAAAAAGTCATTTTGTAAAATATTTGCTAGGATATCAATTTATGGAAACTGAAAAATTACCTCACCTAAAAGAAATATCATGCCAAAAATTGACCTATCACTTCCAAAAATAAAATACACGAAGAACAGTGGAATTAGGTGGTCACGTATATGCACATGAACAGTTATGGAATTATACTTCATGATCATAGACTTTTAGAAAAAGCCAAAATAAAATCAGACCAAAATATCTGAAGGATTTTATCATTTATAAGGAAATAAATGTACACCAATAACCTGCTTTAACGAAAGATTCTAATGTATCATCTAACCTTTGATGACAAGAACTGCGTCAGGTCAATTTATCTGAATCTGCAGTCCGTCGTCTGCAGGTAGGTAAATATTTGCAAAGTTGTACAATCTCGTTTCCAATTAAGCACGGAGAATAAGAACAAACGTTTCCAGGTGATTTTTCTATTTTTAGTTAGGTGTCATTCTTCCAAAAATTATCGAACGTGATACAACAGCCCCATGCATACACAAAAGTACAGGGTGTTTGGGGTAAACCTGTTTCGGAAAATGGGCGTTGATGGGTGTGTACGTTTGAAAAGTAAGTCCGGTTCATTGCCACACAGATAAAACCGGAATGGAAGGTCAGTTGGACCAGGAAGAAACCCGTCAGTTAGGTAAGTTTATATGTTTGCTTTCTATTTTGTAAGCAGTTACTGGTTTTGCAATAAAGTGACCCCAAAAAAGCATCCATTGATCACGAGTAAATGGGGGATAGAAAGAGGGCAAATTGATCTATCAGAGCAGTGGTGTACCTATGGGGACGCCTGGGGAACGGCACCTCTTGAGGCCTTTACCTCTGCCTCGGTCTCAAAACGAGAAAAGGAAAAATGATTTGGGGAAAGTCTGTATTGGTCAGTGTTTGAACTGTGACTGAACCTAATGATAAGTACCTCTGCAGAAAATGAGACTTCCTAATATCTCTATTAGGAATAGAGATATCTCTA